CATGGTAACCGAATTTCAACAGACAAACCTTGTATAAAATATGTTGAATTTGTACCTTTAAAACAACATCAGATCTTCAATGTTATATCCACTATCAGAAATAAAAACTATAGGCTGGGCAGCACCTGCTGGAGAATGTATCTATCTACAGCTACCCTTTGGTCTCCCATCCAGGGTTTTTACCAAGCCCAGCCCTGCTTAGCTATGATATTCCTGCGTAGCTATACTATTTGTCACCAACTATTACCAATGTAATATTGTGAAAATGGTTGTTGAAAGATCTCCACATAAATACTGTTGCTATCGAAGTCATTCCAAAGGGTAGGTTTAACAGAGCAAATGATATGTGACCATACTTTATCACTCATATATTATCAATGATGCTATTTAGGTGCATTTAAAGTTTGATTTGATTTAGTCCTATTCTTTAACTTAGATGTTGGGTTGAGATGGAGACGTGAATCCAACATATTAATTATTAATTTGTAGACAAACTGGAATTAAAGCCAGACTAAGTCAGTGGAACAGATTAAACTATCCAAGCAGAAGATTAATCTCTTTCAAATGTTGATATTTGGTTGCATTGTCAATCAAACACAATTCAATATTACTTTTGTAATACAGTAAATAGCCTAAGGTTAAGGATATTTTACAGACTAATGTAACATTCCACTTTAAAATGAGTAACACAGCCATGGCCACATTTTGAAGTTACTCTAACTATACATTTATTCTTATGGAATCATATAAAACATGCATTTTCAAGATGGCATGGATAGGTCGTCGCAGGTCTGTGCAGATCTTCACAATTGCTGTAATAATCTGTGCAGAATCTCGAACTTGTACTTTTGCACCATGTACTTTTAATGTAATCTCAACTGCAATCCAGGTAATTTGGTTCTGCTCTTAGATGAAGCACAGTGATAACACATTAATTGGTTGTATAAATAAACAAAATATTTGACATTGTATTCCCATTTGAACTTTGTTGTATTTTTAAATGGTTGAAAGTGGAGTGATTGACATTTGGGGGACAACTAAACCAAAAATCAGACATTATTTTTCAGTTGGAATTTGGTTGTGCTTTTAGATGGTTGAAAGCATATTGATAACACATTGGAAATTCAACTAACTTTTGGCTGTTTTTTTGAGTGGATGAATATAGGTTGTAATCTCATTGATCAATGTCTCAACCAAATATTACCCAATTATCCAGATTGAAATGACGTGGTGTGCCCAGTGGGATGTCTCTGCAAATGAATTAGCCCTAGAAAAACCTTTACAGATTACATGGTAAATTGCATAAACTTCAAAATCCACCTCCCTATTGGCTCTATATGACTGAGGGCCATGTTCTAACAATAAAAAAAACATATTTTGTCACAATTCAAGGTCTGTCAAATATTGATGTTGAACAGTCGAGTACGAAAAAAAATCCCTACGTTAGCTTGGTTACGTGAGAACAGTGCATAGTGTAATAATTTATACTCTGCCTTTAATTACCCATGTTCATAATTCATTTTGAGAAAATTAAATTGACGAGTGTAACCTGCATAACCCTGTGGTGTAGTATGGCTCTTGTTCTGCATAGACAGCAGAAGACATGCTCCAGATGTCTGTCTGTGTGTGTATTACATGAATTGAAGCATAGCATGGTGGGTAATGAGTGTAGTAGACTTCTGGCCACTCATTCCAGCTTATTAGTACTGTAAGATAATATTGGTTTAGATCAGACAAGCAAATGCAAGGTAGTTGCTATTAGGTTATGGTAGAGTTGTTAATTTGAAATGATATTCCATTTGAATTGAATATTGTGGGCCCTCACTATAGCAGGGATCCTCAAGGTAATTTAATGAAGACCTTAGAATTAAAAAGCTCATAGTTTCAGAGAACATGGCCTCATGATTGTTGCGGTTTTGCATCACTTTTGGCAATGACTTAATGACTGTCACATATTTATCCCCAGTAATTTCCTATTCAAATTACCTTGAGTGGAGCTGGGGTCGAGGAATGCCCAAAAAATTGTTCTTTATACTGTCTATCAACAAGACTTGAAAAAAAGCCTAATCACATCAGTCATGGCAGTCTGTCTGTGAGCAACTGTGTGTACTGTTACTACTAATTGACTGTAGGGTTTTGATTTTAACCATGTGGATGGATATAAATATTTCCTCCCAAGTAATTGTTCTCATTATGTCAAACCATAAGAGTCAGAGTCAGGCTGTGTATTTATTTCCTAATGTCTCAGGGCAAACTGAATTAAATGAAATTAAATACATGTTTACACACAGTAAAAGTCCTTGATTGCTTTACCAAATTGGGGCCAACACAGGTCTGTCCTTGTAGGCCTACATTATTATTAATCATCAGTCATTTTAAATAATATACAGTATCTCCCTATGGAGGGTCAAATGTTAATGTTGGGCCTGTCTGGTCATGTCTTGATAATGAATTACTACTTTGTCAGGTAGGCCACTGGTTCACAACTGTGGCTAAAACACACATCTTAGAATTTAGGGCGCCCTCTGTCGGTTTCAGTTGGGTCTAGATTTTCGCTGTCAATGCACCTGCGTCAGGTATGGTTAGCTCTGGGCTCCTACGCAATCTCTTCGTCATCGGCTCCAAACAGTGGGAAGTAGTGCCGCGTTCAAAACAACTGGGAACTCAGAAAAATACGAGGTTAAATAATGACGTCACTGATCTTCAGGTTGGAAAGTTGGAGCTTTAGAGGCCAGAGTTCCTTAGTTGGAATTCCGAATTTGATGACCGTTCAAATCTATTTTTCCCAGTCGAAGCTCGTTTTTTTCAGAGTTCTCAGTTGTTTTGAACGCACTGAAGTTGGAAGTCTGAAATGTCTGAGTTCCGTGCTCCCAGTTGTTTTGAACGCGGCATAGGCTATTGTTTATTATCACCTTCCGGATTCTTAGAAACTTCACCTGTTACAGACGCGCCACCGGTAAGGAATATTTGGCCTGTTTAGAGGTCTCTCAGTTAGACTTCGTAGGATCTAACAATGTAGACCTATCCGATACACTGTAATAGGGTTATTTCAAATTAGTTCAGTCTAACGACGGGTTAGCATTATGTGGAGGTTATGTACCGTATTTCTTGTTTTATTAATCAGATTTGGATAATTATCGTTTTAATATGCACACATTTATGTTTTTGTGGCTATCATTAGCCTAATTAACTTAATGTCGTGGCTGCCCTTTCAGTTATATCCTCTATTATAGGTTACACCATATTATATACAGTGCCTTCGGAAAGTATTCAGACCCCTTGACTTTTTCCATATTTTGTTACGTTACAGCCTTATTCTAAAATGGATTAAATAAATAAAAAATCCTCATCAATCTACACACAATACCACAAAATGACAAAGCGAAAACAGGTTTTTAGATTTTATTACACATTTATTAAGAAAAAAAACAAAAACACCTTATTTACATAAGTATTCAGCTATGAGACTCGAAATTGAGCTCAGGTGCATCCTGTTTCCATTGATCATCCTTGAGATGTTTCTACAACTTGATTGGAGTCCACCTGTGGTAAATTCAATTGATTGGACATGATTTGGAAAGGCACACACCTGTCTATATAAGATCCCACAGTTGACAGTGCATGTCAGAGCAAAAACCAAGACAGGAGGTCGAAGGAATTGTCCGTAGAGCTCCGAGACAGGATTGTGTCGAGGCACAGATCTGGGGAAGGGTACCCAAACATTTCTGCAGCATTTAAGGTCCCCAACAACACAGTGGCCTCCATCATTCTTCAATGGAAGAAGTTTGGAACCACCAAGACTCTTCCTAGAGCTGGTCGCCCGGCCAAACTGAGCAATCGGGGGAGAAGGGCCTTGACCCCTTTTTTAAGGGAGAGCTCTAGAGTTCCTCTGTGGAGATGGTTGTCCTTCTGGAAGGTTCTCCCATCTCTGCAGCACTCCACCAATCAGGCCTTTATGGTAGTGTGGCCAAATGGAAGCCACTCCTCGGTAAAAGGCAGATGACAGCCCGCTTGGAGTTTGCCAACAGGCACCTAAAGACTTTCAGACCATGAGAAACAAGATTATCTGGTCTGATGAACCCAAGATTTAAGTCTTTGGCCTGAATGCCAAGCGTAACTTCTGGAGGAAACCTGGCACCATCCCTACGGTGAAGCATGGTGGTGGCAGCATCATGCTGTGGGGATATTTGTCAGCGTCAGGGACTAGGAGATTAGTCAGGATCGAGGCAAAGATGAACGGAGAAAAGTACAGAGAGATCCTTGATGAAAACCTGCTCCAGAGCGCTCGGAAACCTCAGACTGGGGCGAAGGTTCACCTTCCAACAGGACAACCACCCTAAGCACATAGCCAAGACAAAGCAGGAGTGGCTTCGGGACAAGTCTCTGAATGTCCTTGAGTGGCCCAGCCAGAGCCCGGACTTGAACCCGATCGAACATCTCTGGAGAGACCTGAAAATAGCTGTGCAGCAACGCTCCCCATCCAACCTGACAGAGCTTGAGAGGATCTGCAGAGAAGAATGGGAGAAACTCCCCAAACACAGATGTGCCAAGCTTGTAGCGTCATACCCAAGAAGACTCAATGCTGTAATCGCTGCCAAAGGTGCTTCAACAAAGTACTGGGTAAAGGGTTTCCGTATTTTTCTTTTTATAAATTAGCACACATTTATAAAAACCTGTTTTTGCTTTGTCATAATCGGGTATTGTGTGTAGATTGACGAGGGGGAAAAAACAATTTAATCAATTTTAGAATAAGGCTGTAACATAACAAAATGTGGGAAAGGTCAAGGGGTCTGAATACTTTCCGAAGGCACTGTAAGTATATGGGCTGCACAGGGAATTATAACAATAGAGAGAGGGAAGTCACTGATGGCCTACTAATTATTATTATCACATTGCCTGATCAGTCCAGAAGTTGGGGACGTCTGTGGATGTGGACGGACTGATAAATTATAATATCTTCCATGATCTGATCCTTGTCCTAAAACAGACTTACCCGTTCAATGGAGGAACCATTCTTTTTTGCTTGCGGGGATTTCGTCGACTGGTCTGTCCAAACTGCTTGGGAACAGAATGACGCCGAGGTGGACAGTGCATTTGGAGACTGGAGTTCCGCCTGTAATGGCAACAAGTCGGATGCAGTTGAAAGATCTTCATCTCTGTCTTCACCCATGGACATGGACATCTCTAAACTCTCAACAAAGGTGAGAGTGCACCAATCTTTCTGATCATTCCAAGTTTACTTTACTTAAGAGGGAATTATTATTATGACCTATAAAGGAGCTGTCTTAATTGCCAATGTTCTATTTTCCTAATGTAGGCTAATATAAAAACAATATAATAATAATATGATATATGTGATATATTTTTCTATACAGCTGGAGAATGGCAATGTGAAGAAATCATGTGTAGTTTTCCAGGAGTGCTTCCAGGTCTTGGGTGAATCTGAAGAGGCCAACTGTACTGTACGATCTCTGTCCCAGCTGCTAGAAAACACACAGCCTTTTCAACCAACAGCTACAATATGGTGTCTAATTTATCTTCTTTTTTTTCTAAAAACATGCCTCTGTATATGTATGAAGCTTCACTTCTGTGTTCCGTGAGATTGTGTTTAAGCCTCCTCTTCTCTCGTGCTTAGTGACTGTGGCAGCTTGTGGAGCCATCTGTTGGCTGAGCCCAATAGGCTGAGGCTGTCAGAGCCAAAGCCCAGCTTACACCGCCACAGCCACAGCAGAATGGTTTCTGCCCTCAGAATCACACCCTCACACTGCATCTCTGAACAGGTGAGATGGGTAGGTGGAGAAAGAGGAGAATGGGGTCCTTAAAATGAATACAACCTCCCAGCCTAGTTGGATGAATGTCTTTACTTTGTGTGGGTTATTAATAGGAAATAAGATAGTCAGGTACAAAATTATTGGCACCGTTGATAAAGATTAGCAAAACATACTGAGCTATATTGTATGCCACCCAAAAATGGAATATTATATGATTTTATACTAATACAATTGCTCGGAGAAAGAGATTTTCTTTAACAAGTAATAAACAAACCCTAAAAGATAGGGGTCAATATTATTGGCATCCCTGTTTTCAATACTCCAGGACCCTTCCCTTGTAAACTTAAATTGTCATTTCTATTCTATTATCTATATTTCTATGATTTCAATTGGTTTCCTATGGAGGATTGACAGTATAATTTAAAACAACAGATATTCCCATTCGAGTCAACATTATCTGATGTGTGGGTCTCGAACCATCTTTGTGGTACCATTTGAAAGTTGACATTTCAATTTGATTCCAATTTTATCAGCCAAAACATGACACCCACCCTGTATTCAAGAGCATGTTGTGTTTCAACTGATGGCGGGCACAACACAAAATCCTCAGATGATGTAAAATAGCGTCTAAGCTACAACTTATGTGAATATGAAACAAATCAGACCATTTTTATTTATTTTTTCAAGTAACTTCAGTGTTACACCAGGGGAAACATGCACACAAGTTTCTGCAGCAGAGCCATCTATAGTGTACAGGCGAGGGTTGGCGGGGGGGTCCCCCCCTTTTATTTAAATGTTTTAAGGAACTCCTGCACTAGATGATGCTCCAAGATTCCACACTGGAAAAAAATATATATTTGGCAAGTAGTCTGCCTCATGTTCTGCACGTAAGACACCTGTATTGTACAATATTTGCACATTATAAATTGTTTTAATTCTTCAAGCTCTGTCAAGTTGGTTGTTGATCATTGCTAGACAGCCATTTCAAGTCTTGCCATAGATTTCCAAGCCAATTTAAGTCAAAACTGTACCTAGGCCACTCAGGAACATTCAATGTCGTCTTGGTAAGCAACTCCAGTGTATATTTGGCCTTGTGTTTTAGGTTATTGTCCTGCTGAAAGGTGAATTTGTCTCCCAGTGTCTGTTGGAAAGCAGACTGAACCAGGTTTTCCTCTAGGATTTTGCCTGTGCTTAGCTCTATACCGTTTATATTTATCCTAAAAAACTCCCTAGTCTTTGCCGATGACAAGCATACCCATAACATGATGCAGCCACCACCATGCTTGGAAATATGAAGAGTGGTACTCAGTGATGTGTTGTTGGATTTAGCCCAAACATAACGCTTTGTATTTAGGACATAAAGTTAATTTCTTAGCCACATTTTTTGCATTATTACTTTAGTGCCTTATTGCAAACAGGATGCATGTTTTTGAATATTTGTATTCTGTACAGGCTTCCTTCTTTTCACTCTGTCATTTAGGTTAGTATTGTGGAGTAACTACAATGTTGTTGATCCATCCTCAGTTTTCTCCTATCACAGCCATTAAACTGTAACTGTTTTAAAGTCACCATTGGCCTCATGGTGAAATCCCCGAGGTGTTTCCTTCCTCTCCAGCAACTGAGTTAGGAAGCCTGTGTCTTTGTAGTGACTGATTGAATTGATACACCATCCAAAGTGTAATTAATAACTTCACCATGGTCAAAGGGATATTCAGTGTCTGCTTTTTTTTACCCATCTACCAATAGGTGCCCTTCTTTGCGAGGCATTTGAAAACTTCCCTGGTCTTTGTGGTTGAATCTTTGTTTGAAATTCACTGCTTGACTGAGGGACCTTACAGATAATTGTATGTGTGGGGTACAGAGATGAGGTAGTCGTTCAAAAATCATTTTAAACACTATTATTGCACACAGAGTGAGCCCATGCAACTTATTATGTGACTTGTTAAGCATATTTTTGCTCCTGAACTATTTTAGGGTTGCCATAACAAAGGGGTTGAATAATTATTGACTCAAGACATTCCAGCTTTTCATTTGTAATTAATTAGTAAAAATGTATAAAAACATAATTCCACTTTCACATTATGGGATATTGTTTGTATAACAGTGACAATCTACATTTAATCTATTTTAAATTCAGGCTATAACACAACAACATTTGGAAAAAGTAAAGGGGTGTTAATACTTTCTGAAGGCGCTGTATATCAGGGTTCTATATCTGTGTTCTTTCCCCTCCATAGTGTGAGTCACTCTTTTTGGAAGACAATGAAGAAACTACAGAGGAGACCTCTTGCCCCCCTGCTGCTGCTCTCATCAAAACCAAGGTGTGTACATGCATATGTGTGTGTGTTGGGGGGGAACCTCCTCCTTTTTAGGAAGTGGGCATCACAGGCCTGTCTGGGTGTCTTTCTACTCTTATTGGCAGGGAGCACTCCTGTAACCTCTAACCCAACCTCTGGCCTTACTCTCATCTCCCTCCACTCAGCTGCTGGCCCCCTCCTCCTGCCATGGTGACACCCCAGCGTTCCTCTACCAGATCTCCCAGCAGTGGCTGACTCAATGCAGCATCCGGCTGCAGCCTCAGCACCACAAGAAGACTCCTGCACTGAACTATGGAGAAGGATAAGATGAAGATGCAGCATAGCATAGCCCTACTGTACTGTTGTAGATGGGTGAAATGGGTTGGGTTGTTACCCGGGTGAGAACAAAGTATTAACGTTTCGCAACATTTTATTTATACAGATTGTAAACAAGACATTCTATGATATTGTGTATTTGGTTTGCAGGCGTGTTCCTAGTTTTATATATAATATTTTGATACGGAGTGCAGTTGCAGTGATACTATAAATGTACTGAGTGATTTATTCTGTGTAACACCTGTTGTTTTTATACCACTATTGTCAAGAGCATAGGGAACAATGCAACTCTGTGGAAAGACTTTGGAAGTCAGTCACAGCACTCCACTAGAGGGCATACTGGCTTCCTCATAAGTCCTAAACCCCATTTTGCAAACATACAGTGCATTCAGAAAGCATTCAAACCCCTTGTCTTTTTCCACATTTTGTTTTACGTTACAGCCTTATTCTAAAATGCATAATTTTTTTTAAACAAATGTTCTCATCAATCTACACACTATACCCTATAATGACAAAGCAAAAACAGGTTTCTAGAATTGTTGGCAAATGTATTAAAAATAAAAAACAGAAATACCTTATTTACTTAAGTATTCAGACCCTGCACCTCAAAACAATGAACACCTCAAGAAACATAAAAGCTTTTTTTGTTTTGTAGAATACCCATCTCTAAGTCTCACTGTAGAAACCTGGCTTGAAATCTAGAGCAGTGCATGGTCCCCCCAAAAAAAGTAATTGGGTGTATCTTCCCACTGTGGATACATTTTTATGGAAAATTGGATTGCTTGTGCTTGAACTATTTATGGAATCACATTATTGGTGTCCTCCACCTCTTAATCTTTCCCTAGTTTGGTCCTCTGTGTTTTGTTTACCTGCCTTAATACTCAAAACCACAGACATGTTTCATGTGATTGGCTGTTTTGTAAGTAAGACTGCAGGGTATCATGAAGCTAATCAGCACAAACCAGTATAACAGAGAGGTTATTACAACTGCATCTCAGACAGTTCTCTTCCATTTCAACCACCAGAATTTGCTTTTCCAGACAGAGAAAACAGGGGTTTAGTGGAGGAGCACACTCCTCCCACATGTCACTTGATTGGCTGGCAGGTTGAATCTATGAATAGAAATGAAATACTGAGAGCAAAACCATCACCTTTTCACAAGTAGGCCCCTCCTACATGACAAGTGATGTAGACCTACACTTCCCTCCCCCCTCTTATTTTCCATATCCTTCTCTTTCTTTCTCCCCCTCTCTTTACTATCTCCTCTCAGCTAGAGCACTAGCGGGATGTCAGAGTGAATTTAGATTACATCTCGTTGCAGTGCAGTGGCGGAAAAAAGCCAAAGGGACATGGAGGAAGGAAGGATGATCCTGGGTTGTATTGTGCCTTTATATGTCACTCACACTAACAGAGGAAGGCATGGGCACATTGGCCATCTGGCAAATGCCAGATGGGCCGGACCATCTTTTCGTTGGGTGGGCTGGTCAAAATAAATTAATAATAATACAAATATTATTGATTATATATATATATATATAAAGTATACTTTTTTTAAGGGAGACTGCAGGCGGCCAATGGGCCTGTTAAGATTTTTTCAAATGATATTTGTGCAATATCTCTATTGTCATAATATATTTGAGCATTTGCCTGATCAGTGGGCAGCGGCCGATCCCCCTAGCAAGATGGGCCAGCCCGGCTTTCTGATTGGCTGAGCTGAGGTGGCGCAAAATTCACGTTCAAAGTCAAACGCACATCAGCAAAGAGACCTGCTCTGACTCTGTCATCAGTCAGCCCAGATCATGGCTCGTAAAGAACGGAAAGGTGGTGCCGAAAAAAGTTAGACCAAAGAAAGGCTCTTGAGACCACACCTGCTAAATGTGTGAAATTAACCAACTCATTTTCTAAAAGTTCTGGTTCTGCTGGTCCAAGTGCTGTGACAGCTGCTGCTACAGAAGACAGTGCAGTTGAGGTAGGGAGAAAACTGAGAAAGACACACACAGTAGCTAGGTTTCCATCCAATTGCCGACAGATTTTAATGTGAATATTCAAAAATCAGCATTAAAAACTCCAAGGAGTTTCCATCAAATTGACTTGTTGCGGATAAAAGGCTGTGCGTGATGATGAAGTTGAGAAATGTTGTACTATAGTGTACTGCATATTTTGTGTCAGTGGTGATGTGGGCTGTTGTCTAAAATGCCAGGGCCAAATGTTTGTCCCAGTCCGCCCCTGGAGGAAGGCGCTCACTGCTCAGCTCTCCACCGGATGGATATATTGTAACTCAAATACTCAATTTCTACAGAACTCTTTTAAGTCTTTAAGGCATTGTTTTTTAAAGGGAAAAGTGGTTGCTATGAGAACAAGGAACTTATTTTGATTATACAGAAGAACTCAATATTTTTTCAAAAGCAGAGGCAGACTTTACACCTACAGTGCTGGAATAATTAGATTAAATGCAAAGATAATGTACAATTTCAATAAGAGGCCATTATATAACAAGACAAGCACTAAAAGACACTGCATATTTTTCTTACATTCTGCTAACTCCCTAAAAAAGTGAACATTCTGTTCACAGTAGATACACAAGTCTCCGTCACCTGAATAAAACCACTCTAGTATGACAAAAATACCATCCACATTGTAAAAAATATATATTGTCATTTACAATTCTTAACCGGACCAAGCCAGGTTATCCTGATGATGTCCAGATCCTTAACAAGCAGGTCATGACCCCTGATGTATCACGAGTTGACCAGAATCTCCATAATGTGGTCCAGATCATTGAGGTCGGTCAGACACCGCTGTAACGTGCTGACCGAGATAATACTGGAGCATATCTTTAGTCCCTCGTCCCCCCAGGGGGACACCTCGCTGGCCCAGGACAGGTAGCCGGCCCAGGCAAAGGGGAGATCAGAGGAGTCGTACATGAAGGTGTCAATGTCCTCAAAGATGCCATCCAGGGCAAGGTCCGTGAGGCAGCCCAGGGAGTTTGGCATCTCGCTCTTAGAAGAGCAAAGGTGTGCCGAGGGGCTTTAGGATCTGGGGTGTCCAGAAGAGCTGTCCTGTGAGGGAGATGTAGGCAATGTGGTGCGGCGAGGAGACACCCAGCCTGTTTCCTTCAGCACACCCTGGGTAGGTGAGTGGCCCGTCCTCCTCCCAAATACTGTCACCGAAGAGGGAATCATGGTGGACATCATTAAAAGGCAAGTCTGAGAGGCCAGGTATGTGGGCAGGTGCATCAGGGGAGAATGACTGGGCTGACAGGTCAAGACTACCTGGCCCTTCCCTCTGCATGTCCTGTTGAATCTGCCTCAAGGTATTCACCAGCAGCACTGAACGGTGCAGGCTGAGTTCCACTCCTGTTTAACTGCGCTGTAGCTTGTCCAGGCACAGGCTGAGCACGAGCTGGCGCTGCTGCAGGTGAGGCAGGTAAGACCCACCCTGAACCTGGACCTCAGCCTTCTCTGGCACATAGACCGTGAGCCCCTCTGCCTCATTGCAGCTCCGCTTCACGCCAAGACCCAACATGAATCTAGACAGGAAGGATATCTATCACTTTCATTGATCAACATTTAAGTATGAAATGTACATCTATACATCATTTGAGTCCTGTCTTCATACGGTTTTAAATCTAGTTTGTGATAGAAGGCTCTTTCTTGTTCAGTGAGTTGATAGGCTACTGTATTGGCCTACATGTACAACTTGCACTCACTGTTTACAGTGATCTACTTAACCACTGTATTTATGCATTTTTTAATGTATAAGGACTACTAAATATGCGCTTGAGTTCAGATTTGTTTTGTTCATAATTTACAAACACAATTTATTCAGGGTTGACACTACTCTGGTGAGCAAGTCAGGCCCCAAAAACTACTTTTCACCAAGTCAAATTAATGCATTGTGTTAGAGGTTTCATGATGCTTGTATTTAAACCAAAGTTGATCATTTTAAGATTGATCTATACATCAGTTGGGGTCTCTATAAGCTTCAATATGAGGTCCTAAACCTAGCATGAAAGTGCATCATAGTAGCTGTGTGGGCTAATATAGTCAAAATGTTTGCCTTGGGGTATGTTTAGCCAATGGCAAGTTGAGCAAATTGAAGTGTTTTCTTCCCAAGCACAATGCAAGGCATTATTGCTGGGATATTTACATTTACATCATTTAGCAGACACTCTTATCCAAAGCGTCTTACACATTGAGGTAACAACAGGGCCTGGCCTATGTTAAAAGTGTAAAGAATGATTAAAATACAAAAATGCGATTGTGTTTGGGTAATAAAGATATGGTAATATTTCCTTCAGTACAGACATGTGTAGGCTGCTTAACTTACCCTGTCCCTTACAACTTACCCCATACCCGGGGTAAGTTGTGCCAAGAGACCACTCTTTTTTTGTACGAGCTATGTTTTCAAATTTGTAACGTTTAAATGAATTCTGATTATTTCCAAGAATACACATCCTGAAATATATGTAGATATCTTTGTTAGAAAGAATACTATATTTCCCTTGACGGAGTGATGCTGAATGTAAAAAAAAATGTTGATGAGTCGTTGCTCTCAGAAGACCGTCACTCAGGTAAGTTTTCACTTCATCTTATTAAAATGTGAGGAAGTTAAAAAAATCACACGAATGTCTCGGGCAAAGACGTTGCCTTGTTCGCCATGGGTATCATTCACTGACAGCTGTTTCGCTTGTAGGAGGGCTGACGTCCACATAAGGGGGGCGGGACTACATCGTAAAAGGAAAGGACACAGGGAAAGGCTGGGGGACCGTTGCTGCGCTAGACCAGGGTTTCCCAAACTCCAACCAACTTGACACAACTGTGGGAAGCATTGGAGTCAACATGGGCCAGCATCCCTGTGGAACGCTTTCGACACCTTGTAGAGTCCATGCCCTGACGAATTGAGGCTGTTCTGAGGGGAAAAGGGGCGAGTGCAACTCAATATTAGGAAGGTGTTCTTAATGTTTTGTACACTCAGTGTATATTTTATGGAAAATAGATGTTGCATGTTTCTGAACGCTACATCATGCTGCCTTGTTGACAACATGACCAAGCGGCGAAGACTACTGCGCTCCTCCCTCACCACTTTTGCCCGTTCACGTAACTTAATCGAACTCCCTCAATGTTATAATTGTCAGTGGGCGGTCTTAACCACTCACGGGGCTGGGAAATGTGCACCACATTCTCTAGGCTTGGAACTTTTTACATGTGTTGAAATACACTGTATCGAGTCTACTATGTAGTGGTTCTCTGAGTGCAACCCAGAGTTGTGCTACTGTTATAATGGTGGTTGTAACAACCATCCAAACACTGTTACAGATGAATGGAATAGGAACAGTGACAGTGCCTTCAGAAAGTATTCACACCCCTTGACTTTTTCCACATTTTGTTGTGTTACAGCCTGAATTCAAAATGGATTAAATTGAGATTGTGTCACTGGCCTACACGCAATACCCCATAATGTCAAAGAGGAATTTAGTTTTTAGAACGTTTTACAAATTCATTACAAATTAATAGCTGAAATGTCTTGAGTCAACAAGTATTCAACCCCTTTGTTATGGCGAGCCTAAATAATTACAGGAGTAAAATTTGCTTAACAAGTCACATAAATTGCATGCACTCACTCGTGTGCAATAATAGTGGTGAACATTATTTTTTTTAAATGACTACCCCATCACTGTACCACACACACATACAATTATCTGTAAGGTCCCTCAGTTGAGAAGTGAATTTCAAGCACAGATTCAACCACAAAGACCAGGAAGGTTTTACAATGCATCGCAAAGAAGGACACCTATTGGTAGATAGGTGTAAATAAATAAAAAGCAGAAACTGAATATCCCTTTGAGCATGGTGAAGTTATCTATTACGCTTTGGATGGTGTATCAATACACCCAGTCACTACACAGAAGGACAACCATCTCTGCAGCACTCCACCAATCAGGCCTTTATGGTAGTGGCCAGACGGAAGCCACTCCTCATTAAAATCCACGACACCCCACTTGGAGTTTGCCAAAAGGCACCTTAAGGACTCTCAGACCATGAGAAACAAGATTCTCTGGTCTGATGAAACCAAGATTGAACTCTTTGGCCTCAATGCCAAGCCTCATGTCTGGAGGAAACCTGGAACCATCCCTAAGGTGAAGCATGGTCGTGGCAGCATCATGCTGTGGGGATGTTTTTCAGTGGCAGGGACTGGGAGACTAGTCAGGATCGAGGCAAAGATGAACGGAGCAAAGTACAGAGAGATCCTTAATGGAAACTTGCTCCAGAGCACTCTGGACCTCAGACTGGGGCGAAGGTTGACCTTCCAACAGGACAACGACCCTAAGCACACAGCCAAGACAATGTAGGAGTGGCTTCGGGACAAGTCTCTGTATGTCCTTGAGTGGCCCAGCCAGAGCCTGGACTTGAACCCTATCGAACATCTCTGGAGAGACCTGAAAATAGCTATGGAGCGACGCTCCCCATCCAACCTGACAAGAGCTTGAGAGGAGAATGGGAGAATCTCCCCAAATACAGGTGTGCCAAGCTTATAGCGTCATACCCAGTAAGACTTAATGCTGTAATCGCTGCCAAAAGGTGCTTCAACAAAGTACTGAGTAAATGTGATATTTCAGTTTTTTATTTTTAATAAATTTGCAAACATTTCTAAAAACCTGTTTTTGCTTAGTCATTATGGGGTATTGTGTGTAGATTGATGAGAAAAAAACAACAAATGTAATCCATTTTAGAACACGGCTGTAAGGTAACAAAATTTGGAAAAATCAAGGCGTCTGTATACTTTCCGAATGCACTGTATGCCTTAGAAATGAAGTGGTATTTGCATGTGAAATTATTATGGTGTACATTTGCTCTATTCTTCACATTTTGTTGGTTGTCCACTGATTGGTATGCACATTGGACATATTAGGTGTATTTCACCAACTACAAATCAAACACAATACCTTGAACTTAGTTTACCTTTAAACTAACAGATACATTTTATATAATTAAAAAGGAAAATAAAATGACAATTAACTTTGCACCTTTTATTATAAAAAAATATTTACAAAGATGCTACATTTTTTCTTAATATAAAAATGCATATACTTTACAATTGTTAAGATCTTTGAAATTCTAGCTCCTGTTTGAAGCAGAGTGACATCATTCAGAGAGGAGTGTTGTGGTAGTAATGACCGGAGTAATACTGTCGGATTTAACTGGTACGGTTTGCCTGAGTAATCTCTTAATCATGATAAGGAGACATTATGAAAATAAATCTTTACAGAAAGACAGTTGCTTGTAAATTCCAACAAAAAAAAAAAACTACAACAATAAACCATTTTGATATTTCTATGGATGAATTGTGTACAAAATATCATTTCACAAATGAACTGCATAGTGAATAGTAAACCCAGGCCCATAGTTCTTTTTGAAAAGGGGGGGGGGGTAGACCCATGTGATATATAAAATATATCACAGGGGTCTACACGATTCAGTTGGCATGTTTGTGTCTGTATTTAATAAATAAAATAAATAAAGTAATAACTTAACGGGTCAAACCATAATTCTTAATTTGTAATAACACAAATATCAGAAAATATGGCTTCTTAATGCTGATATCAAGCAAGAGTTTCTGTTAATACTTGAACAAATCTAGTATAGGTTAAAATCAAGCAGGAAAAAACGTGCCTGAAAAAGCAGGACAGTCCCCGTCTTGAGACTTAATTACTTGATACCAAACCATAGGAACACTAGTCGAATCTGGCCACATTAACATTTTAAAATCTCTGTCAGATAAAAAATAGGAGGGGGGGGGGGGGGGGGAATTATATGAAGTCATATTGGTACATTTCCCAAACTGTATGTTGCAAAAAATATATTTCAATATACATATACCTCTATTTCACTAATATTTGTTTTAGTCTTTAGGAAAATGTCCATTGCTTCAAAGGTTTGGATGTTCCGGTCTCAATTCTTGTGTAGTGTAATGACATTGTTCTTCAGTCCATACATAACAATAAATTAAAACAAAACTGGAAAAATAGATTGTATGATAACAGGAAACATAGAAAAGTACGTAAATAAGAAAAATCATAATGGTATATGTTGTAATCTCTGCCCACTTACAGATGCACACCTGCATGTGGTAACACTGAATAAGTTATTGATTTAATAAACCCTCAACATCTGAATGTATAATAATAACACTATATTCATGTACGCACCATGTGCATTGTCTGTAAAGAGTCTTCCAAGTTAGTATGAATGGGAATGTGTTGTTTCTCAGGAGCCCACTATGATCTCCATGATGTGGTCCAGTTCATTGAGGTCTGATCGGCAGCTGGTGCTGGAACTGAGGGGAGAGGGCCCATGGGAGGACAGGCTCTCCAGGAGGTCGTAGGGCCCCATCTTAGGAACGCTCTGTATGCCTGTCAGCACCGTGTCAAGGTCGTAGTAGGACGCATCCACGTCTGAAAACAGTTCCTCCAGGGCAGGGTCGGGGCTGGGGGCAGGGTTTTTGATCTCGAACGTGCCAAAGACCTGCTCTGCTGTCCTGGAGTCCTCCACAAGCCTGTCACTGTCTCCCTCCTCCGATCCAGACCCACACTCCTCACTGTCCTCATCTTCTTCCGTCTCCTCTTCCCAGCAGGGGTCCATGCCGAAGGTGCCTGGCAGGTAGGTGGTTGGGGCTTGAGAGGAAACCGTGGACATGGTCACCCCCCCCTCACCCTCCTCCTCCTCCTCCACCACCACCTCCTCCTCCTCCTCTGCAGGGCAACCCTCTGACCCCACTGCTGGGAAGGGCTTGGGGACCTGCTCGCCCTGGGCTGCCTCGGTCTGCCGACACAGCACCTCGGTGGCCACCAGGCGCTCTGCAGAGCACTGGGCAGCAGCGTTGGCAGCACTCAGGGCCTGGGTCATGATCTGCCAGGTGCCGTCCTGGGTCATCTCCTCCTGGATCTGCCTCACCGTGTTGGCAATCAGCACCGAACGGCACAGGTTGGGCTCCACCAGCATGTGGCACAGCTGCAGCTTGATCAGGGACATGTCCAGCAGGGCCTGCCGCTGCAGGCTGTAGGATGACAGCATCCTCACGGCCACCGAACTCGGCTGGTTCATATCCTCACCGCCCACCGCAGGTTCATCCCCGGAGTCAGAAAACTTGCGCTTCGTGCCCTTCGGGAACATTTTGGCTCTCTGGGGTGAGGGGAGACGGAAAGTGTGTTATTGACAAAAAATCTGTCACACAAATACACATGGTATCATGAAAGACTGTTGTTTTGCAGAATTTTACTTATCAAAAGTACATTCTAAAAATGAATGAACTTATGTGTGGTGTTTGAAGTGTGTGGCATAAGGACAAACTATTAAGGTTATAGGCTAAATTTCAATTGGTAAGAGAATTCTGTGATGAAGAATCTCTACAGGTTAGCAAAATATTAATATAGTGGCCTACAGTATAAATGGCTTGTTGTTTTTCTGAAAGTTTGCTATACCTTTCCTGTTGAGAGGCACAGGCATTAGCATAGCAGCTTGGTCCCGGCTGCAGCGCTTCAGTACTTTTGTACAAGCAACAAGCAGCTTTTGTTCTGCACCCTTTCTGCCCATTTTAGGCCAGTCTGAAGCAAGGCTCCTGCTGGGCGGAACAACCACACTTTTAACAGACCCACTGAACCACCGAAAATACAGCATGTTACCAACCAACTGCCATCACTGCGGTCAAAGTCAGGACAGGTCAGACTTTTCTCAAAAAAACACAATCAGCTCATGTACACACACCATCCCACCCCACTGCCACCTGTCGTCAGACATCTCCTAAGTATGGGCAAAAGTGAGTTAACAACTTCACTCCGGTAGTACAAAAGAGAACAGGACACATACTGGGTGAGAAAAGTCAAATGAAACCACACAGGTTTAATGTGATATTATGTTTGAGATATACACACACCATGCTCTAAAAACTAGAACTGCTAGAATGTCATTACAGGGAAAGGAGGAAAAGTTAACATTAACCTTCCTGATGCTGTATCTGCCTGAATGAGAAGATATCAGAAGACTTGCCTCAAAACAACAGGGGACGGCTGCTGGCTCCAAGGGACAAACAAGCCGGGGAGAGCAGAACAGGGAGAGAACACAGGACAGGAGCCTGGTGTGACTACATTTCCCATAAGACTAAAACAAAGGAACTTCTGTCAGGGTATGCGTCCCCTCAGAGAGAGCTCTGGGTAGGGCATTGATTGGAGTTACTACTCTGCTACATGGATCAACCATCCACGAAGCAACAAATAATATCAAACAGGAGGTAAGTATGCAATAAAGAAAACTAAAACAGACAAGAGACAGTTTCAAAACATCAAACATTTGCAGTTAATATACTGAACAATCATATAAACGCAACATGCAACAATTTTACTGAGTTACAGTTCATGTAAGGAAATCAGTCAATTGAAATAAATTCATTAGGCCCTAATCTATGGATTTCACATGACTGGGCAGGGGTGCAGCCATGGGTGGGCCTGAGAGGGCATAAGCCCACCCACTGGGGAGCCAGGCCCAGCCAATCAGAATGAGTTTTCCCCACAAAAGGGCTTTATTACAGACAGAAATACTCCCCAGTTTCATCAGCTGTACGGGTGGCTGGTCTCAGACAATCCCGCAAGTGAAGAAGCCGGATGTGGAGGTCCTGGGCTGGCGTGGTTACACGTGGTCTGCGGTTGTGAGGCCGCTTAGACGTACTGCCAAATTCTGTAAAACGACTTTGAGGCGGCTTATGGTAGAGAAATTAAAATTAAATTCTCTGACAACAGCTCTGGTGGACATTCCTGCAGTCAGCATGCCAATTGCACGCTCCCTCAAAACTTGAGGCTTCTGTGGCATTGAGTTGTGTGACAAAACTGCACATTTTAGAGTGGCCTTTTATTATCCCCAGCACAAGGTGCACCTGTGTAATGACCATGCTGTTTAATCAGCTTCTTGATATGCCACACCTGTCAGGTTGATGCATTATCTTGGCAAAGGAGAAATGCTCACTAACAGGGATGTAAACAAATTTGTGCACAAAATTTGAGATAAATAAGCTTTTTGTGCATACGGAAATTTCTGGGATCTTTTACTACAGCTCGTGAAAACTGGGACCAACACTTTACATGTTGCGCTTATATTTTTGTTCAGTATAGATTATTTTAACACTATACTAGCTGATAGCAAAAAAGCACACAGTTGATAATAGCAACTTATGCAACATTCCTAATAAGCAATGTCTTGTATCTATTTTAGGGATGTAGGGATCCACTGTTGATATCACAAGGGCACAATCTATCAGTGTGCCCAGGGGAGAACATTTAGCATCGGTCCTACCCTAGTGGACATCTTAGCACTGGAGCAACAAATGCTATCACAAGGTGACACTTGCATTTACTGTATAATTTTACCATTGGAAGTAACCAGGAGAGTGCTTTGACTGTGTTAATGAACCTAACTTGAATGCAGACTTTATGGCCCACCACCTAGCCTAACTATTGCTTTCACTAGAGGGTGGTAATGTGCTTCTAATGTCATTAGCCATCAATAAACCATGATGAAATACTCTGTCACACAATTGGACTGGTGCCCTTACTGAAATGTAAGATTATTTTAACTGCAACAACTGAACAATGCAAATGGCCTGCGTCAGACCACAGATAAAATGTATGAACAGTCAGTTTTTGATACAAACCTCTGAAGTACAAGAAAACTGTAAACTTCAGCAAATGTTGATATGTGTTCCAAGTTGCTAGAACCCAAATGATATTTGCATAGCTGCATATTTTCTAGTCCAATTCATGAGGGGTGTTGCCAGGTACCCTATTAAAAATAAAAAGATGTGAGGCAAACATATGAATGTACTCTCTCTGTTTCTCTTTTGTTACCTTAGTGGAGCCTGTCAAAAACAAAGGAGAATGTCTAACTAAGAAGCAAAATACTACACAAGTAACAACAACAACAACACTTGGTTCATGTTAATGTACCAATCCCCCCAAACAATGGGTTTCTACTAAGGAAGTCTAGCTGATTGGATATCTGAAAACAAGGAAAAAGAGGTGCAATCATTATGATGTGACAAGAATGAGTTACTGGTGCAAAGAGGGGGCCTTATTGCTCCTGATAAAACACTGCAAACCTAAAAAGGACTGTTCAATACAAATCTGTTAGGCCGATATCCATGGAAAAAAGGATCAAATAGGTTAATGTGGCTATAAAAACAAAGCATAGATCAAGACAACATACAACACTTCAAGGTTGTCTTTTGTTGATTACTCCAATCAATGAATCTGTCAGTAACACATGTAAGGAGGGAACCTCATTCCTGTAGGATGTCCTTGTTGCAAGTACCCTGTGTTATGTCTCAGTTTACACCACTAAACTTCAAAGAGCAACAGCTCCACCAGAGATCCTCCTCCTCGTCTATGGCTCCACCTAGGAATTGGCTCCCCTCCCCCACAGTACTGACGTCGATATTTCCACGGCCGCTTATGGTTATTTGAATGGAGCAATTAGCTGACTACCCAACAGTGCATCCTGCAATTCATAATAGGTTAATAAAAAATAATTTACAAGATTAAGTCAGTTATTTACATTGCACCCATTGCAATCGCTCGTGGCCTCTGGTAGCTGTACCGCATGCTTTGTCTAGCTCGAGCAAAAGGGAAGCTGGGGCGACAATGGAGATGAGGCCATTTTGAAATAACAAGCTAACTAGACAATTCATACTCATCGAGATAAAACTGGGATATATTATTACAACACCGTTTTCAAATTACAAACTTCATTTTTCCAACTACATAATTTCTCAACTCTCCCAAAATGGCGTGTATACTGCTGCATGAAAATGGTTTAGCTACCTGCTAAATGTGTAGCTAGCTAACATAGCTAGCACCCACCCCCCCACCCCCGCCTCACCACTGGTGACACCAGACTAACATTTGATTAGAGTTTCGTGAATAATTATTTCGTATCAATCCTAACAAATAAATACATTCGGCGTACCTTCGTTTATTTTACTTTATTCCGGTGTTGGTCATAAGATCCTCTGTAGGATGCGGAGATCGGGCTGAGATGAGATCATTAATGCCACGGCTTCAAAACTACCTCGTCTTCACTGCTGCTTGCTACGGCCGGGGAGCAGGGAGGGTGGCGGAATGGGGCGAAGGATGAAGGGGGCGGGCTCCATGCATCTTGATCGACATGCTGTCACTTGAATTAGCGCACCAGAACAAAAGGTATACTCTCAAAAGGCTAAGAAATGGCACAAAAACAACAACAACGCAACATGTAAATCAAAGCTCACATGCGTTTCTTCACACAACTGCACAGACTGTAATCAGTGCGGACCTCGGTACATATGGGAGGAAATGGTTAATTCGCAGCAACAACCAAAAAGATTGCAGTGTGAAAAAATGGCCAACAATAAATGCAATACAACTATGATGAGTTATACAGAATGTAATGACATTGAGCTTTTTACTTATTTTAATGTATTTCATTGTACAAAATGTCCAAGGCTGTGGTTAACCAAGGATTCATAAAATAAAAAATATTTTTTACAAATTACTCTGAGTTTGCAGTTAGTGGATGTGCCTGTCCATAAACTCAGTGGTGGCACCATAGGGTGGCACAACACTGTTATTGCCAAAATTGACTGATTTGTCAATGGTCTATCCAGCAGGAAGAGCTGTTGATTTTATATGGTTTTGTAAGGCTGTTAAAATAACCGTATGTCCGTTTTTTCAATATTAACTTTTTGCATTTGTGGGTGCAAATTAGGTTGTGTGAATGTATGCTTTTAACAAAATAAAATACACACATCTAATTTCAGAATACACATTTTAGTCATAAATGTGGTTAAAGTAATCACAAAAACAAGGGGCAAATCATTACTGAGAGCTAAGGCTCCATACAAATGAGAACATAAAATTAAACATATCAACAAATAATTCTTACTAGTAACATACTTACTAGTAACACCCAACGTATCTTTGACTTATCTTATCATTATTGAATATAGTACTACAATCAAACAAATGCAACTATATACAAATAAATCCAATACAATTATATACATCAGAAACATTCATATAATTACCTGAAACCTATATTCAAAAAGAGACTTAAACACAGTTTGGAATTTCATAACATGTTGAGAAATGTAGGTTTTCTTCATAGGAATTCATGTCATTTTATTGATCCAAACTTAATATAACATTTTTTGTAATTACTACAGTATACTAGGCCTACATTTGTTTTTATCAAAACAGACATTCAACCCCAGAAAAACAGTCAAACATATTTTTATGATGCGTAAAGTGCAATATTTAAAATAAGGGGTTTCACAAATTCTGGGCAAAGCACATACACAGGACACATGCCCTCACCTTAACCCAAACACACAGTCCCCTAACCTTAACAGTATTCAAGATAATGTCATGAAAGTAAAACAAATAAAAATAAATAACCAAACAAAAACATACTTAGTCAGTTGCAACACATTGTTGGTCCCCTGTGAAACCGCTTCTTAAATATTCGTTGGATCTGACATTTTATTTGGTTATTTTACACTACTTCAGGAGTAAGATATGAGTTAGGGGTGGAAAAGATTTGGGATAGAATTGTATTAAATATAATTGTACATAAACTAAAATGAAACTAACTTAGTAATGAATTATGATTGAACCAGTACATCCATGTTAATAACCATATAATAGTACATTTTAAACGTTCAACAAAAATACTGCATAAGGTCATGCATCCCTGAAACTGTAGGGAACCACAACAATCAACAGCTCATTATTTTAAAATAACATATTAATGTCATTAGCAAAACTTCTGCATATAAAACTCTCTAAAAGCATTAATATCAAGTAGAAAACAATTAAACAAACCTTTTCAGCAGCAACGTCTTTCAAGAGAAAAGCACAGACAGCCAGGAGTGTTGCAAAGAGAAGCAAATGGTCTACATTTCAGTGCAAATAGAAATTCAGCAAAAAGGCTCTCCCTTGTCCACTGACTACCACAACCCCATGGCCAAATAAGAATCACATGTGGTCAGAACAACAGGATCGTGTCTGAGGTCAAGATGTGGTCAGTAGAATAATAACATGTGCTTTGCTTGGCCTCATGCAACACACTCTGCTCGGCCACTAGGCCTACTTATGAGTCCTCTAAGGCAGGAGAGCACAATGTAGCAGTAGTAGTATACTGTATATCAAATCTCAACTATCAAAAAGTTAGGGTTAATATGCCGCAGATAACATGACAATACAAATTCTCCCGGACTACCTGTAGAGTGCATCACTAAACCAGCATTCATTAAGAAGAAAAGCTCTCTCTCTCTGGCAGAACCTCAATTGGTTTTGCTCGACTCCTCGTGTCCTCTCCTCCATCCACTGCTCGCCTGCTTTTGAAAAAGGTCAAAGGTAAACGAGGAGCAGAGGCGAGGAGAGGAAACATGGAAACAAATCTGCTTGTATGAAATGAAACACTCCTTCTCTTTATTTTGGAATCCCAAAATACATTTGTAAAGTGATAAAAACAAATTTAGCTAGTTGTGCAAGACATTTTATAGATAAAATGTGTGCATGCTTTTCTCCTTCGAGAAAACAACAGCTGATTCAAAGGGGGTGTGGCAGATTTTAAAACACTTCTGCGCTAGCCGCCAGGAGGATACGCTTGTGCATCCTCTGCCAAAGTAGGTAATTGCGGAGGTGAGCATGCTTCTCCGTTCGCCTACTAACGAATTGACGCTTTCCTCGACCACTCGACCACTCAACCACTCATCGTTTTCCAGGTGACGGAGTAGGATTAGGAAAAGGATGGACTTTTGCCCATTCTCTCTCCTCCCTCTCGCCTTCTCTCTCTCTCTCTCACTCCCTTCGGCCCTCATCTAGTTCTTCCTCAGAGAGTGTGTCATGGGGGGTGGAGGGGCGGGGCATGACGTGACCTTTGACCCCTCCTTTTCTGTTCTGCAGGAAGTCCTGGATCTCCCCTGGCAACAGACGGAACTTCTCCTGGTACTCCGCCTCCACCGCACCCTGCAGCTGGGGTCAGAGGTCAGGGGTTAGAGTTAGGCGTTTGCAGTTTAGGTTAAGGGCTAGGGGTTAAAGGTTAGAGGTCATGGGTTAGTTGGTGTGTCACCTTTGGTTTTTCATCCAGAATCTGCTGCTGGATGCCTTTGTGCTGCTCCACCAGTCTCTCTTGGCGTTTTGTCTGGGCATCCTCCAGCTAGAGCAGAGAACAGAAAGGTTACCTTCAGTGATTGGACCACTCGATTCTGGAAGTGCTATCACTTCACAGGAAAATAACAGTACTTGACGTCACGCCGCTGATTCGCCAACAAGAGTTTGGAGTGATGTCTGACCCCTAACCCTTCCATCCTTACCCTCTTGATGTTCTGTACCACTTCATTCACATATGATTTGTTGATCTCCAACTTCTCCCTGACAACAGAAGAAGAAATACAATCATACACATAGAAATACAGCCTCTCTCTCTGTCACACACACACATACGCATGCACACACACACACACACACACAAACAGAGTTCTCTCTTACTCTTCAGCCAAGTGCTTCTCTTTCGTCATTGCTTCTTTGATTTTCTCTGTTCTCCTCTTTTCCATTTTCTTTTTCAGGTCTTTCTTTTCTCTGCAACGGTGGAGCATCACAAATGATATCTTTTATAGAATTGTTTACAATTATATCTCTACAGTACACTCATTTTACATATCTGTTAAACTGACATCTCACAGTCATATCAAACTCACTTGTCACAGATGTCTTTTAATTTCTTCATCTGATTGTTCTGGCTTTCCTCAGTCACCGTAGTCAGTTTCTCCATCAGCTGCAATAGTGGTGAGTATTAGAATGTACAGTTATATCATATATTAATCTGTGTGTGTGTGTGTGTTACCTGTTTGATATGTTCTCTTTTGAGGTATTTCTCGCTGTAGTATTGTTCCTGCCTCAGCTCCAGTAGCTGTTGCTGTTGTTGTTCTCTCAGCTCCCCCAGTCGCCCCTCTCCCTCCTCATCAAAATGCTTCAGTTCAGCCTCCCCTCCGGGCGACAAACTTCTACAACATGCACGCACGCACACACACACACACAAAAGGGACATGAGTCAGGGTTAGGGACAACACACACATACACACACAATCCGAAACTCTACCATACTTCCCCACCCTCCACCCTACCTACCTTGTCTTACCATGTTGTTTAGTCTTCAGTAGAGCGTTGCGTCTGTGTGTGTGTTGGTTCTGAGCCTGGTTGTATTTGGTGGTATGTTCCTTCACCATCTCCAAAGTCTTCTTCTGGTGTCTCTTCACCACATCTTTCATCTCCCTGTAGTGTTTCTTCTGCTCCCGTATGATCAGCTTCTGTTGCCTGAGCTCCTCTAGTGTGGCTGCCTCCATATCTGAACAGGCAGAGACCACACAGTCGAGCACATAGACTACACACCACAGCCACACTGTCTTATACTGATCACACACCACCACACACAGCATTTACATTTAAGTCATTTAGCAGACGCTCTTATCCAGAGCGACTTACAAATTACAACCCCGCCCCCCTGATCCCTCTGACCTATCAGAACGCTCTGCACCATGTCTTCAGTCTTCAATGCTGGTTTGGCTGGTTCTGAAACAACAACAAAAACACTATGATTGGTTGGCGGCACAGAATTTAAACTGGAAAATTCATTCATGTCAATACATATGCAGTGACATTTTAGCATTCTTGGGTGTGACTTTAGCATATAGAAGTTAGTGGGTCAGGAGTCAGAAGTCAGGGGTTACCTGTGGCTGCAGGCTGGGGTGTGTTAGTAGGAGTCCTGGGTGTGACAGTAGGGCTGGGGCTGAGACCGTTCTCCAGAGGAGCAGGTCGTAGGTTCGCTTTTGGCTCAGCGGGCCCGGGCTGATCAGCATTAGCCTCAACCTTTATAACACAAAAACATCAACAACATTTAACATTACAATCAACACCAGCAACAACAGCAATGTAACAGTATTTCTAAATACATGTATATCAAGGAGAAACCGTTTTTACTGTCCATAACCCCCTATCGACCACAAAACCATAGTTCGACCACAAACCTCTTTGCTGGTCTCCTCCTCCCCTTCCTCCAGGGTGAGAGCAGCCAGCTGCTGGGAACGCTGCTCCAGGAGATTCACATACCGGATGGGGTTAGACAGCGCCTCGATCACATCTAAACACGAACACACACACACACTTTAGGGATTAGCCTTGATGCAATGTGGGCAAATTGAAAAAAAAGACTACTTCTCTGAGGCCAGATATTCCTGCCACACACGCACGTGTTCCTTACCACTGATCACTAAGCTGGTACTAAGCTTACATAGAAACCTTCAGGTCTAATAGGCATTGTCGTACACCAGACCTACCTGCAAAGGTGTCTGGGACATAGTCCTTAACTTCAATGTAGACAAACACAGCAGGCAGAATCAGAGACTGGTTCTTCTCATTCCTCAGGCCGATGTAGCGATAACCTGACACAGACAGAACACAGTTAATAACCTGAGGACAGGAGAGGACAACAGAGGACAATAAGGACTACAGAGAGAAAGAGACAACAAACTATTTGCAGAAGCAGTGTTTACTGTTTACAGGTAAATATAATGTTTACCTGGCCGTATGGCTGGCACAGGGATAATACGGTGACCTATGAACTTTCCTCCTTCCTCAAACGCAGCAATTCTCAGAGAGGCCAACGTCGGGAGAACCACCTGCAACAACACAATTAGACACAGTCACACATGGATATACTTTAATATTATACACAGTTATACAGTTAAAATAATACAGTTTTACACAGTTATACTGTTACACTTCAATATTATACGCTATCTATGATTATACAGTTTGCCTGAATCCTGAAGATTTGAATTAGCTCCGTGAGCTAATGCCTTTAGCTCAGAGGGCTAACACAGTCCAGTCTTATGGCATTTAGGGGACCTGGGTTCAAACCCAGTCGGTCACACTGTTGTCTCACCTTCTTGAAGATGATTGGGTCCTCGTCCCAGACAGGGTTGATAGCGTTGCTTTGGGACGTCTTGGTCTTCAGGGCTTTTCTCCTGGTGTCCACAGGAAGACCAAACATGTCCAGCTCTACGTACACACCTACCTTCTTGTCGCTCAGAAACTGTCCTGATATTATCTGTAGGAGGGAGACCCTCAGTTTAAATGGGCTAATTTCATATCCACAGTTTAGTCTAAACTACAGTAACTGGTTCATTGGTTAACCTTGACAGACAGTGTGTTAGTTGGGTTATGGTTATGGTTAGAGTATTCTGTAACTTCTACCTTGATCTTGACTGTGTTGGCTACTATGCCATCCACGGTACTCTCAGCGAACGGGTCAAAGTGTTTGTCTGGTCGTCTCATGAACTCTGGTTTCAGTCTGTAGCCGCTCTTCCCATTGTACTCATACATGCCCAGGTTCAACTGCATAGACAGATCTGAGAGAGAGAGAGAGAGAGGGATAAAGAAAGAGAGAGAGACAGAAGTCAAGGGGAGGTCAGAGGTTAAGAGAGGTCAGGGGTTACAGGTCAAGTAGGCAGTGCTGCCTCACCTATAGTTTGGAAGTTGAGCGCCACCAGCTGGCAGCCAGCATTCCAGAAGAGTTGTGGCATGTAGTTGGAAGAGTCCACCCTCGTGCCTTTAGGGTAGATACGACTCAACTGCTGCTTGTTATATCTGAGAGGACATGTTAAGGACGTTTACATGACATCACATTATAGTAAGAACACTCTTAGAACCAAAAAGGGCTCTTCGGCTGTCCCTTAGGAGAAACCTTTGAAGAACCCCTTTTGGTTCCAGGTAGAACCCTTTTGGTTCCCATGTAGAAGCCTTTCCACAGAGGCTTCTACAGTGGGGAGAACAAGTATTTGATACACTGCCGATTTTGCAGGTTTTCCTACTTACAAAGCATGTTGAGGTCTGTAATTTTTATCATAGGTACACTTCAACTGTGAGATACAGAATCTAAAACAAAAATCCAGAAAATCACATTGTATGATTTTTAAGTAATTAATTTGCATTTTATTGCATGACATAAGTATTTGATACATCAGAAAAGCAGAACTTAATATTTGGTACAGAAACCTTTGTTTGCAATTACAGAGATCATACGTTTCCTGTAGGTCTTGACCAGGTTTGCACACACTGCAGCAGGGATTTTGGCCCACTCCTCCATACAGACCTTCTCCAGATCCTTCAGGTTTCGGGGCTGCCGCTGGGCAATACGGACTTTCAGCTCCCTCCAAAGATTTTCTATTGGGTTCAGGTCTGGAGACTGGCTAGGCCACTCCAGGACCTTGGGATGCTTCTTACGGAGCCACTCCTTAGTTGCCCTGGCTGTGTGTTTCGGGTCGTTGTCATGCTGGAAGACCCAGCCACGACCCATCTTCAATGTTCTTACTGAGGGAAGGAGGTTGTTGGCCAAGATCTCGCGATACATGGCCCCATCCATCCTCACCTCAATACGGTGCAGTCGTCCTGTCCCCTTTGCAGAAAAGCATCCCCAAAGAATGATGTTTCCACCTCCATGCTTCACGGTTGGGATGGTGTTCTTGGGGTTGTACTCATTCTTCTTCCTCCAAACACGGCGAGTGGAGTTTAGACCAAAAAGCTAGATTTTTGTCTCATCAGACCACATGACCTTCTCCCATTCCTCCTCTGGATCATCCAGATGGTCATTGGCAAACATCAGATGGGCCTGGACATGCGCTGGCTTGAGCAGGGGGACCTTGCGTGCGCTGCAGGATTTTAATCCATGACGGCGTAGTGTGTTACTAATGGTTTTCTTTGAGACTGTGGTCCCAGCTCTCTTCAGGTCATTGACCAGGTCCTGCCGTGTAGTTCTGGGCTGATCCCTCACTTTCCTCATGATCATTGAAGCCCCACGAGGTGAGATCTTTCATGGAGCCCCAGACCGAGGATGATTGACCGTCATCTTGAACTTCTTCCATTTTCTAATAATTGCGCCAACAGTTGATGCCTTCTCATCAAGCTGCTTGCCTATTGTCCTGTATCCCATCCCAGCCTTGTGCAGGTCTACAATTTTATAATAATAATAATAATATAATTTATCCCTGATGTCCTTACACAGCTCTCTGGTCTTGGCCATTGTGGAGAGGTTGGAGTCTGTTTGATTGAGTGTGTGGACAGGTGTCTTTTATACAGGTAACGAGTTCAAACAGGTGCAGTTAATACAGGTAATGAGTGGAGAACAGGAGGGCTTCTTAAAGAAAAACGAACAGGTCTGTGAGAGCCGGAATTCTTACTGGTTGGTAGGTGATCAAATACTTATGTCATGCAATAAAATGCAAATTAATTACTTAAAAATCATACAATGTGATTTTCTGGATTTTTGTTTTAGATTCCGTCTCTCACAGTTGAAGTGTACCTATGATAAAAATTACAGACCTCTACATGCTTTGTAAGTAGGAAAACCTGCAAAATCGGCAGTGTATCAAATACTTGTTCTCCCCACTGTACATGGAACCCAAAAGAGTTCTACCTGGAACCAAAAAGGGTTCTACCTGGAAACAAAAAGTGTTCTCCTATGGGAACAGCCGCATAATCCTTTTGGAACCCTTTTTCTAAGAGTGTAAAGTAGGGCCTGCATATTAGTCAACTGCTTTGATGAGACTTAACTGCAGCTAATCTTCAATGGAATTAGCTAAGATAGAGAGCAAAGCAAACCCTTGAGAGGAAAGTAATCAACCACACCACAAACTAATACTGAAGTGGAGTTAGGGTTCAGGGTTATGGTTGGGGTTATTTAGAGGGCAGCTGAATTTTAAGGATACTCCACAAACTCCACGGGCGACTTCGTGAGGTGCTCCAGAGCTTTAGTCTCCACAAATGATGACATTTGATAGCTACGATTAACCTCTGGGGAAAGAACATAATGGTTTATTACGCATTTGTGTGTTTATGCATTAATGTGTGTGTATACACTGAGTATACAAACCATTAAGAACACCTGCTCTTTCCATGACATGACCAAGTGAATCCAGGTGAAAGCTATGATCCCTTATTGATGTCACTTGTTAAATCCACTTCAATCAGTGTAGATGAAGGGGAGGAGACAGGTTCAAGAAGGATTATTAAGCCTTGAGACAATTGAGACATGGATTGTGTATGTGTGCCATTCAGAGGGTGAATGGGCAAGACAAAACATTTAAGTGCCTTTGAACAGGGTATGGTAGTAAGTGCCAGGCGCACTGGTTTGTGTCAAGAACTGCAACGCTGCTGTTTTTTTAAACGCTCAACAGTTTCCCGTGTGTATTAAGAATGGTCCACCACCCAAAGGACATCCAGCCAACTTGACACAACTGTGGGAAGCATTGGAGTCAACATCGGCCAGCATCCCTGTGGAACGCATTTGACACCTTGTAGAGTCCATGCCCTGACGAATTGAGGCTCTTCTGAGGGCAAAGGGGGGCAACTCAATATTAGGGGAGGGGGCAACTCAATATTAAATGTGTTCCTAATGTTTGGTATACTCAGTGTATATGCAGTGAGCCAGCATACTTTTGGACGCCTCAAAGGAGTTAAACTTGGTGGGCTGGACGTAGTTGACCAGAGTGGACATCTCCTCTGTGGCTACGGCCTCCCGCTCCTCTGCTGTCCCCTGGAGACAAAGCCATCACATAACAGGCAGCCATGTTACCCTAACCCTAACCCTAACCCTGACCCTTCACCTCTAACCTACAGTACATCAGCAGTGTTAAAGGGTAACCAAGTAACTATGGTAGCAGAGTACAAGCTACTGAACTCACCTCATCTGATGTCTTCTTACAGTCATCGTCATCATCATCATCGTCATCATCATCGTCTTCAGCCTCTATTTCTCCTGAAAGAATGTTTACATTTTAATATACTCTAAAAGTTTGTTTCTTTTAGCCATCTGTTATAAAAGGCTTCTAGAGAGCCTCACCAGCAGTGATGATAGTGATGAAGATGATGAACATTATTATTATTATTGTCATCATATTTATACAATAGAGCACACTTGCAGACAGCCTCACCAGCTGTGATGTTGCTAGGAGACGAGGGTTCATCTGTTGCCTGTTCTGCTGCTACGCTCTGGTTGGTTGGCTGCTCTGCCAGTCTCTTGTTGCCATGGGCAGCCGAGGGCTTGTGGGATTTCTTGTTCTTGATGAGGATCTTACCCATCAGCTCCTGAGGACTTGGCAGGGGTACCCCAGACTCCAGCTAACACACACACACAGACACACACACCCATGCACAGGCAACGCACACACATATCAGTGTACATGCATGTGTGTGTGGGAGGGGGTGATGTGTGTGTGTGTGTGCATGTGTCCTAAAAACTTACAGGATATTTCTCCAGTGGGTCTATCAGTAGTGCATCTCCAAAAATCGACCTACAGTATTCTGCCATCTTGGCTTGTTGCTTTGGCCTGTTAGAATTAGAGGTCAGGGGTCAGAATTAAAGAGCAGTTCACCAAATATTTTCTAGTATATTCACCTATTAACCTCTATGTTTTCACTCACGAGTCCACATGGTTTTCGAAGGACAGGATGACAGGAAAAGGAGAGGTTTTAAAAGCACACTCAGCGATGGCCTCAATCACCTCCTGTAGAGTAAAAGGAGAAGTTATAATAGTTGGTTATTTTATTACACATATATACACTGAGTGTACAAAACATAGGTGTGTCAAGAACTGCAAAGCTTGAGTGTGTCAAGAACTGCAACGCTGCTGGGTTTTTCACGCTCAACAGTTTCCCGTGTTTCAAGAATAGTCCACCACCCAAAGGACATCCAGTCAATGGCGGCAGGCCAGTGGTCGAAAAAGGGTAATTGGTGAAAGAAGAAAAAGGAGGCTGACATGAATTGTGCAGAGCAATAGACGGGCTACAGTTAGTCAACTGACAGTCCAGTACAACATTGGTGACCAAAGACCCATAAAAGAATACACAACTAATTTAGCAGACGCTCCTCTCCAGAGCAACTTACAGTAGTGAGTGCATACATTTTCATTCTTTTTCACACTGGTCCACCGTGGGAATCGAACTCACAACATTGGCGTTGCAAGCACCATGCCCTACCAACTGAGCCACACATTGCCAATCTGGTGCATCCCTTCATGGCAGCAGTGTATCCATCTGTGAAATTATTTTTTTCAGCAGGATAATGCCCAATGCCACAAGGCTAGGATTGTCCAGGAATGGTTCCACGAACATGACAGTGAATTCAGCGTACTGCAGTGGCCTGCCAAGTCACCAGATCTCAATCCAGTTGAGCATCTGTGGGATGAGATTGAACAAGCTATTCAGAGTAGAGATCTACTACCAGCCAACTTGACACAACTGTGGGAAGCATTGGAGTCAACGTGGGCCAGCATCCTTGTGGGACGCTTTCGACACCTTGTAGATGCCATGCCATGACGAATTGAGGCTGTTCTGAGGTGGAAGGTGTTCCTAATGTTTTATACACTCAGTGTAAGTTTATACATTTGACATTTTAGTCATTTAGCAGACGCTCTTATCCAGAGCGACTTACAGTTAGTGAATACATTTTTTTTTAAATACTGGCCCCCCGTGGGAATCAAACCCACAACCCTGGTGTTGCAAACGCCATGCTCTATCAACTGAGCTACATCCCTGCCGGCCATTCCCTCCCCTACCCTGGACGACGCTGGGCCAATTGTGCGCCGCCCATGAGTCTCCCGGTCGCGGCCGGCTGCGACAGAGCCTGGATTCGAACCAGGATCTCTAGTGGCACAGTTAGCACTGCGATGCAGTGCCTTAGACCACTGCGCCACTCAGGAGTGGCCTTAGACCACTGCGCCACTCAGATATAGACTATATCTGAATTAAAAAGAACAGTTTTAGAAGGCGGCAGGTAGCTTAGTGGTTAAGAGCGTTGTGCCAGTAACCGAAAGGTCGCTGGTTCTAATCCCTGAGCCGACTAGGTGAAAAATCTGTCGATGTGCCCTTGAGCAAGGCACTTAACCCTAATTGCTCATGTAAGTCGCTAAATGACCAAAAAAAAATACATATATATATAAAAAATAAAAAAAAAAAAAAAAGTAGCACAAGGACAAGGCAGAGACTAATGTAGCATTGACACAGACGAATGGAGTTAGCCTTGATGCTGGAGATTTCAGAGCGTGTGCGTGCGCGTGTGCGCGTGTGTGGTGTGTGTGTGTGTGTGTGTGCGCAGCGTATGTGTACCTTAAAGCAGATCTCAGAGGTCATGGTGAAGCCGTGTGTGATGACTGGTTCCTCCTCTGCGGTCCGTCCTTTCCAACAGTCTAACTCCACACAGCGACAGCCTGCCAACATCACTTGACGGTACATCTCCACTGACGAACTACCTGCCAGCTGCCCCGCTAAACACACACATACACACACATTTATAAATATATATAGGCCTACACACAGATTAGATTGGCCATCAGTAGTGCGAGTCAATAAATAATAGGTGATGTGATGGTCAACTGTTTGTTCACCCACACCGCCCGCAATTGCTAATAACCCATCTGCAAACCGCCCGACTATATGTGAAACTCTGAGGCCCACACCCGACCCGTACCCGCTAATTTAGAAAATGCGCTTTAGGCTACAGTTAGAGACGGTTGAACAATTTTCTTGACAGGGGGTGCAGGATTTTCTGTTGTTGCCTGATTTACAGTGCATTCGGAAAGTATTTAGACCCCTTCACATTTCCACATTTTGGCACTGCTCATCACCTGGCCAATACCATCCCTACGGTGAAGCATGGTGGTGGCAGCATCATGCTGTGGAGATGTTGTTCAGCAGCAGGGACTGGGAGACTAGTCAGGATCGAGGGAAAGATTAACAGAGAAAAGTACAGAGAGATCCTTGATGAAAATCTGCTCCAGAGAGCTCAGACTGGGGCGAAGGTTCACCTTCTAACAGTGCAACGACCCTAAACACACAGCCAAGACAACGCAGGAGTGGCTTCGGGACAAGTCTCTGAATGGCCTTGAGTGGCCCAGCCAGAGCCCGGACTTGAACCCGATCAAACATCTCTGGAGAGACCTGAAAACAGCTGTGCAGCGACGTTCCCCATCCAACCTGACAGAGCTTGAGAGGATCTGCAGAGACAGGTGTGCCAAGCTTGTAGCGTCATACCCAAGAAGACTTGAGGCTGTAATCGCTGCCAAAGGTGCTTCATAAAGTACTGAGTAAAGGGTCTGAATACTTATGTAAATGTGATATTTCAATTTTTAAAAATCTGTTTTTGCTTTGTCATTATGGGGTATTGTGTGCAGATTGATGAGGGGCAAAAAAACGATGTAATCCGTTTTAGAATAAGGCTGTAACGTAACAAAATGTGGAAAAAGTCAAGGGGTCTGAATACTTTCCAAATGCACTGTAGATATGTTTCCGCTTATAATTTCCAACATTTTGGTAGGCTATTTGTTAGTCAACTTATCTATAATTAGATACATGCACCTTCTCTTCTGTCGTTATGTTGCCCTAGAAGACTAAATAAACCCTTGCTCACCAGAATAATGCCTTAAATCGATAGAATGAATGCTTCAATCTTGTTGACATCGTTAAAGTTTTTTTCTCTGTCATCTCTGCTTCTTTCGCGGAGCAAAGACATTTGGGGACCTGGGAGAAAATGCAATAACTCAACAACAACCAAAAACGGGAAAGATTTTATATGCAAAATGTCCAAATGACATCAGTTTGACCGGTCGTAAGGAAATAGAAAGCTGTGAAAACGACCCAACATGTTTCTGATAAGATTTCAGTTCGGCTTGGATGCATATTTTATGTGGATGAAATAGCCTACTATCAGCTTTTAAGATGCTGCTAAAAATAGCACCTATACAGACAGTATCTAACTGTGCATTCGCATTCTCTCAAGATGCTGAAATAAATCAACCAGGTCACCCATGATACAAGTCAGTATTCGACATCCATCCATGTCTGAGGACGTCGGGAGATGACGTGGAAACCGGCCACTAGGGGCAACATTAAGCACTGTTACCTTCAAGTAGGTTTTGGTTTTGCTAGGGCGTTGTGGACGGGAATGACGGATGGGCGTAAGCATCTGTCTCTGATTCCAAAAGCTGCAAATTGGAATCCAGCAATGCAAAGTTGTTTTTTATATTTTTGTTTTAAGCCTATCCTATACTTTAACCCTTACCTTAAACATTCGGAGTTCATGCCTAAACTTAACCTTAAACACTTGATGTTTGGAAAAACTTCAAAATGTGATGTTTCAGAAACATGAACATCTAATTCTGACTGTGAGAGCTGGTAGCAGACAGCAAATAACTTTTATTTCTCCACTTCTGTTCCCGTGTTGTTACTCTCAAATCTGTATAGCGCCTCACAATCATAACACATATCCGGCACTGCTATCATCCTCTTTTACCACTTCACCAAATCTTTCCCAAACATTACTTTTCCCTTCTCTTTATTTTAACTCTCCATTTCGCAGCCTTTCTTTTATTGAATTAAACTCAAGAGATTGACCTTTTTGCCTCTGTGGATCTACGTAAACTTTTTCTGACCGTTACCAAAAGCATTTGGCGATTGGCATGTAGGCTATTTGGCACGTGTAAAGTTAGGCCCTAAAGCGTAGGCTTACACACTAATGCAAGATAGCCTAAAATAATGAAAGAAAAACCTCAAAGTAGCCTATAGATATAAATGGCACAAGAATGATACATTTATGATACAGTACATTATGGATTTAAGGTATTGTTTTCTCTTTATTCAACCCACCCTCCACCCACCCACCCTTCAACCACACAATATTGCATGACCCTAAATCACTAGTGTGTGTGTGAGTGTGTGTGTGTGTGTGTGTGTGTGTGTGTGTGTGTGTGCCAATGGGCGTGCATGTGTGTACCTGTGAGGTAGGTGTTATGTGAGGAGTTGATGAAGTAGTGAGACAGAGGGAAGGTCATGTCTTCAGACTGGTCCAGCTTCTCAGGAGGAATCACTCCGTTCTCATCAGACACCAGGTACCTGCTGAGCCCCTCCAAGGTGATCAGGCCTACAGAATACACACACACACGCACACACAAACACACAATGGAGGGTTACAGTGCATTCGGAATGTATTCAGACCCCTTTACTTTTTCCACATTTTGTTATGTTACAGCCTTATTCTAAAATAGATTAAATAAATGAAAATCCTTACCAATCTACACACAATACCCTATAATGACAAAGCGAAAACAGAAATACCTTATTTACATAAGTATTCAGACCCTTTGCTATGAGACTCGAAATTGAGCTCAGGTGCATTCTGTTTCCATTGATCATCCTTGAGATGTTTCTACAACTTGATTGGAGTCCACCCGTGGTAAATTCAATTGATTGGACATGATTTGGAAAGGTACACACTTGTCTATATAAGGTCCCACAGTTGCATGTCAGAGCAAAAACCAAGCCATGAGGTCGAAGGAATTGTCCGTAGAGCTCCGAGACAGGATTGTGTCGAGGCACAGATCTGGGGAAGGGATACCAAAACATTTTTGTGCCATTGAAGGTCCCCAAGACCACAGTGGCCTCCATCATTCTTAAATGGAAGAAGTTTGGAAACACCAAAACTCTTCCTAGAGCTGGCCGCCCGTCCAAACTGAGCAATCGGGGAAGAAGGGCCTTGGTCAGGGAGGTGACCAAGAGCCTGATGGTCACTCTGACAGAGCTCCAGAGTTCCTCTGTGGAGATGGGAGAACCTTCCAGAAGGACAACAATCTCTGCAGCACTCCACCAATCAGGCCTTTATGGCAGAGTGGCCAGACGGAAGCCACTCCTCAGTAAAAGACACATGACAGCCCGCTTGAAGTTTGCCAAAAGGCACCTAAAGGACTCTCAGACCATGAGAAACAAGATTCTCTTGTCTGATGAACCCAAGATTGAACTCTTTGGCCTGAATGCCAAGCGTCAAGTCTGGAGGAAACCTGGAAACATCCCTGCGGTGAAGCATGGTGGTGGCAGCATCATGCTGGGAAGATGTTTTTCAGCGGCAGGGACTAGGAGACTAGTCAGGATAGAGGGAAAGATTATCGGAGCAAAGTACAGTGAGAACCTTGATGAAAACCTGCTCCAGAGCACTCAGGACCTCAGACCTGGGGCGAAGGTTCACCTTCCAACAGTACAACGACCCTAAGCACACAGCCAAGACAACGCGGGAGTGGCTTCGGGACAAGTCTCTGAATGTGCTTGAGTGGGCCAGCCAGAGCCCGGACTTTAACCCGATCTAACATCTCTGGAGTGAGCTGAAAATAGCTGTGGAGCGACGCTTCCCCATCCAACCTGACAGAGCTTGAGAGAATCTGCAGAGAAGAATGGGAGAAACTCCCCAAATACAGGTGTGCCAAGCTTGTAACGTCATAACTAAGAAGACTCAAGGTGCTTCAGCAAAGTACTGAGTAAAGGGTCTGAATACTTATGTAAATGTGATATTTCCGTTTGCAAAATTGTCTAAAAACCTGTTTTTGCTTTGTCATTATGTGGTATTGTGTGTAGATTGATGAAGGAAAAAAACAATTCAATCCATTTTAGAATAAGGTTGTAACGTAACAAATGTGGAAAAAGTCAAGGAGTCTGAATACTTTCCGAATGCACTTTATATACACAAAGACACTCATATCTCACACACACAAGTAGGCATACATGCATGCACGCAAGCTTACATCTAGGCACAAATGCATGCGCAAAAAACACACACGCACGCACACGCTCACACACACACACACACACACACACACACACACACACACACACACACACACACACACAGACAGACAGACACACACACCTTGTTTGAGCAGGCTGTGGTTGAGTTCGTATTTCTCCATCAGGGTCTGTGTCTGAGAGGGTCTGAGAGGAGGATACAGAATTTCATTCAGACGAGGATCTCTCTGCCTCTCATTAATGAACTCTGTCATCTGATCCATCGACAGGTAAGCACCCTTAGCACCTCTACAGAAAGAGAGAGAGACATAGTCAGCAATTAGTGACTGTACATACTGTTGAGAGAAGACTGAGCTGAGTTCTGGCCGAACAGCAGAGGTTGGAGAGGAAGGGTCAGAAAGGGTCAGGGTTTAGGGCTGGGTGCCAGGAGGTAGTATCAGTACTTACTGCTGAGAGAAGACTGAGCTGAGTTCTGGCCGAGGACAGAGATGGGAGAGGAAAGATCTGTAAACGTCAGGGTTGAAGTCCTCAAGGGGAATAGAGTCACTCTGCAGAGGAACACAAATACAGTGGCTTGCGAAAGTATTCACCCCCTTGGCATTTTTCCTATTTTGTTGCCTTACAACCTGGAATTAAAATGGATTTTTGGGGGGTTTGTATCATTTGATTTACACAACATGCCTACCACTTTGAAGATGCAAAATATGTTTTCTTGTGAAACAAACATTTTTTTTTTTTTTTTATAAATCTTGAGCGTGCATAACTATTCACCCCCCACAAAGTAAATACTTTGTTGGCCACCTTTTGCAGCAATTACATCTGCAAGTCACTTGGGGTATGTCTCTATAAGCTTGGCACATCTAGCCACTGGGATTTCTGCCCATTCTTCAAGGCAAAACTGCTCCAGCTCCTTCAATTTGGATGGGTTCCGCTGGGGTACAGCAATCTTTAAGTCATAACACAGATTCTCAATTGGATTGAGGGCTTTGACTAGGCCATTCCAAGACATTTAAATGTTTCCCCTTAAACCACTCGAGTGTTGCTTTAGCAGTATGCTTAGGGTCATTGTCCTGCTGGAAGGTGAACCTCCGTCCCAGTCTCAAATCTCTGGAAGACTGAAACAGGTATCCCTCAAGAATTTCCCTGTATTTAGCGCCATCCATCATTCCTTCAATTCTGACCAGTTTCCCAGTCCCTGCCGATGAAAAACATCCCCACAGCATGATGCTGCCACCACCATGCTTCACTGTGAGGATGGTGTTCTCGGGGTGATGACAGGTGTTGGGTTTGCGCCAGACATAGCGTTTTCCTTGATGGCCAAAAAGCTCAATTTTAGTCTCATCTGACCAGAGTACCTTCTTCCATATGTTTGGGGATTCTCCCACATGCATTTTGGCGAACACCAAACGTGTTTGCTTATTTTTTTATTTAAGCAATGGTTTTTTCTGGCCACTCTTCCGTAAAGCCAAGCTCTGTGGAGTGTACGGCTTAAAGTGGTCCTATGGACAGGGTTATCTTTGGTCTCTTTGTTGCCTCTCTGATTAATGCCCTCCTTGCCTGGTCCGTGAGTTTTGGTGGGCAGCCCTCTCTTGGCAGGTTTGTTGTGGTGCCATATTCTTTAAAATTTTTTAATAGTGGATTTAATGGTGCGCCGAGGTATGTTCAAAGTTTCTGATATTTTTTTGTGACCCAACTCTGATCTGTACTTCTCCACAACTTTGTCCCTGACCTGTTTGGAGAGCTCCTTGGTCTACATGGTGCCGCTTGCTTGGTGGTGCCCCTTGCTTAGTGGTGTTGCAGACTCTGGGGCCTTTCAGAACAGGTGTATATATACTGAGATTATGTGACAGATCATGTGACACTTAGATTGCACACAGGTGGACTTAATTTAACTAATTATGTGACTTCCGAAGCTAATTGGTTGCACCAGATCTTATTTAGGGGCTTCATAGCAAAGGGGGTGAATACATATGCACGCACCACTTTTCCGTTATTTATTTTTTTCATTTCATTTCACTTCACCAATTTGGACTATTTTGTGTATGTCCATTACATGAAATTCAAATAAAAATCCATTTAAATTACAGGTCGTAATACAACAAAACAGGAAAAACGCCAAGGGGGATGAATACTTTTGCAAGGCACTGTACCACTGAGATGATTCAGGTCTCAATAAGTTATCATTTAAACAGTTGGCCTTAGTGTGAGAGGAAAGAACTACCAGTTAAAATACCACCACTACCAGCTTTAATATTGTATAGTTTGTTATATTATATAGTATTCCATAGTCATAATGTATACCCGTCCAAATGGTAGGTTGCAGTGTTCCAAAGCCGTCTCCACCCTCTTTTTGTCTGCTGAGAACATGCGGACGATGCTGGATAAAAGGGGCAGGACATGCACAATATAAACCAATCACATCCCACAGGATTCACAGGAAGTTAATCAGCAGACACGGGAGTGACAATTAGTGTTCGAAGGGATGGGCTCTAAGCCTAGCGCTGCACAGATTCACTCATCTTGATCCCATAATGAGTGGTTATTTGGAATACCAGGTAATTATTATAGATCAGTGATTCTGCACGACACCTTGCTAAGGACGATCCCCTAAAATGATTGAGGAACCAATGGGATTCACTCACTTCTTCACTGGGATCCGCCCCTCTGAGTTTGGCTGCAGGGTCAGTCTGACATATCTGTTAGAGAAATATTAGGAAGAAGGGAGAGAGAGACTGAGGAATAAACACACCTCTGTCACACCAACATTTCCAGTGATTTCCATTGCTATCACAGATCTGTCTGGCTCCCGCATTTCTCTTTTAAGTGCCATAAAGATTGAATCAGCCCCAAAATTAATTTTCCTGATAGACTCACGCTTTCTCCAGACTGGTTTCTCTGTTCATGTTGTGACTCAGCAGGTTAGAGGCCAGAGAGAACAGCTCCTCAGCCCACTCCTATACAACACAGAGAGAGGGACAGTGTGTGAGTGTGTGTGTGCGTGTGCGTGTATATGTAATTGAATGTGTGTGTGTGTGTGTGTGTACCGTGGCCTCCTCCTCTTGCAGGGCCATGAAGTTGAGGTATGTGATGTTGACCATGTCCGGTCCTGTGACTATGGTCAACAAACGGTTCTCTATACGACCAACTAGGTTCCCCACATCAAGCAGCTCACGCAGCTTCGCCTCCTACGGAGGACAGAGGGTCAGAGGTTAGAGGTTAGAGGTCAAGGTCAAGTTCACAGGTTAGACCAGGGGTGTCCGCTCCAGTCCTCAAGGGCAAAATGTGTTTTCATGTCAACATGGTACATCATTGATCAGTGTTACTGATTAGTATTGCTGATTGGCTAGAGAATCAGACTATGAATCAAAGGCAATGAAGAAAACCAACAAGAGCCTGGTTTGACATGCCTGGGTCAAGAGTTAGAGGTCCTGGGGGTTAAGTACCTTTGGTGTTTTGGTGCTCTTCCCTGTTCTGGCATCCTTTATATGGGTGATGTCTAACAACTCTGTCTCCTGCAGGAGAGATAGAAGGGAGGGAGAAAGACAGAGAGAGAGAAAAGGATAGAGAGAAAGAGAGATAATTAGGGAGGGAGTAAAGACATGAGAGAAGGAGTGCGAGGGGTGTTAAAATATTCATCACTAACTCACTCTAAAACACGCACACACGCACACACGCACACACACACACACACACACCCACACACACACACACACACACACACACACACACACAGGGGGACTAAGCCCCAGCAGGAAGCAGTAGGAGTCCCAACGTGAGAGACAGCATGGCATCACCTCCACTTATCTCCTGTGTGTGTGTGTGTGTTTGTGTGTGTATGTGTGTATGTGTGTGTGTAAGGATGTGTGTGTGCATGTGCATGTGTGTACCTTGTTCTGGTCAGTCCAGTAAAGGAAGTATCCGTGTGGATCCACAGTCAGGGTGATGGGAGTCACTGTTGAGAGATCCTGACCACATGGAGACAGAGATTAGCACAGACACACACACACACACACACACACACTTGACATTGTTGGTTGTGATTATGCATGTAATGTGGTTGTGAATATGTTGTATTGTGGCTGCACTGTGTGTGTGTGTGTGTGTGTGTGTGTGTGTGTGTGTGTGTGTGTGTGTGTGTGTGTGTGTGTGTGTGTGTGTGTGTGTGTGTGTTTGAAGCTGAGTTGGGTTTGACTAAGGCGTTGCATAAGCATGAATCACTCTGGTCCCGAATTATCTCTCTACTAAGAAATATATACTGACACACACACTCTCTCTCTCTTTCTTTCTCTCTCTATCTCTCTCACTCTATCTACCCCTCTCTTTTATGTGGTGGAACATCTTGGCTAATCGAGGAGGGATTTTAACCATGGCAGTTACCATAGCAACATGCCAGCACATTTCTCTGTATCCTTGCTCTGTGCTTAAAACCTTCAACATATCAACACACACACTTGCAAACACGCACACACACACATACACACACTCACACTCACACACAGCAACCACATTACAACGTATTCGCAACCACATTACATGTGTAATCACAACCACATTACATGTGTAATCACAACCACAAACGTCAAGTGTGTGCACATTTTCATCTTAAATGTCTAGCGCTTATCATTCCTAAAAGGAGTGTTAACAACACAAGCACACACTGATACTCACATCGTCCCATTTCATGAAGCGGCTGCCATTCTGCAGAGTATCGGGGACGGTCGGGAGTTTGAGTTTCAGAGCATGTGTCCCTGGCTGAGCCCCTGCCATGACACACACACACACACACACACACCTTCAACCAGCAGCGCGGGAAGTCCTCTTTCCCTTTCCGTCTATAGTCTTTCTCCTCTCCTGTCTTGTTCTCCTCTTCTCTCCTCTTTAGTCAGTATACTGAGAGGGTTGGATGATAGTGATCTGGTATTTACATCACTGAAACAAGCTGCATATCCATCTACAATCAACGGTGTCCTTTGCCCTGTCTAGTCAGTTCTGTAGAATCAACAGTATACTGCTCTCTCCTCTCTTTAGTATAATGAGTCCTACTGTACCAGCTGACTGTCTCAGGGTTACTCTTCTAGTATCAGTGTCCTCTTGTATACCTAGTGTAAAACAGGATAATATAGTACTAGCTGTCCTGTTCTATCTGTCAGCTCACTCTCTGTGAGACAGAACTGCTACTGCCTCCACACACTGACTCACTCTGACATGCGTATGGAGCCTGCACGCCCACACAGACACACAGACACACACATACAGACACACACACACACACACACACACACACACACAGACACATACAGACACACACACACACAGACACACACAGACACACACACACAAAGAGAGAAGAGAGAGAGATAATATGAAACCAATGTAGACACCTTATTGGATCCGTAATCCAGAGGGTATGGGCTCACATGTGCAGGACCATACCATTGGATCATACATACCTGTACAGGTTTTCCAGCATGGTTGGTTGAAAGGGTTTGAATCCTAAACAGCTTGACCTGTGGTTGGTGCGCGTGTGTGTGTACAGGACTACTGCAGGAGCTATTTCAGCTCTAACTCTCCCACTCCATCCTCAAGTGGTGAAGAGTCCTGAGTGTGTGGGAGAGCTACAGCATTTATTTAGTTGATATGGTGTATGTATGGTTGATATTGTGTGTGTGGTTGATATGGTGTGTTTGATATTGTGTGTATGCGTGGGGGGATGGGGGGCAAGAAGCAGATGATATGAGTATATGGCTATAAGTGTCCATAAGAGTGAGGGAATGTGTGTGTGTGTACGTGCGTGTGTGCGTGTGTGTATGCATATAGAAACCAAAGGCTTATGCGTACCCTCTACTCTCATCCAGTACTAAATAAAGAATAGAGTTGTTACAATGTGGATGCAATGATGACTGGAGAAGAGTGTCACGTTCGTTGAAGGACGGGTCAGACCAAGGCGCAGCGTGATATGCGTACATGTTTATTTAAACTGAATAAACACACGACAAAACAAACAAAGGAAACGAAACGTGAAGTCCAAGGTAGCACACACAACATACCTTAACCGGAACAAGATCCCACAACTAGACTGTGCCAATAGGCTGCTTAAGTATGGTCCCCAATCAGAGACAACGAGCGATAGCTGCCTCTGATTGGGAACCACACCGGCCATCATAGATCCACACATGCTAGATATACAACATAGAATATATACAAACAAAGAATACACACACCCTGACTCAACATATAAGAGTCCCCTGAGTCAGGGCGTGACAGTACCCCCCCCCCAAAGGTGCGGACTCCGACCGCACTACATAAACATAACAGGGTAGGGGCCGGGTGGGCATTCCGCCTCGGAGGCGGATCCGGCTCGGGGCGTGACGACCTCTCACTCTCCGCCTCCCTGTTGCGCCCCTGGTCTGGACCTCGGCGCGCTACTTCCCCTCTCCTTCCTCCCACGATACGCCAGGCCCTGTCTGGACCCTGGTGTGGGAGACCCCGAACCTGGAGAGGGGCTGACGTCATGGTCTGGACTGGAGCCGCTGACCGGAGCTGGACTGGACCCCGGTGGAGCGGACTGCTCTGGCTCCGGAGTGGCGCAGCTGACCGGAGCTGGATCAGGCACCGGTGGAGCCGACTGCTCTGGCTCCGGAGTGGGTAGCAGCTGACCGGAAGCTGGATCAGGCACCGGTGGAGCGACTGCTCTTGTTCTGGAGTGGAACAGCTGAACCGGCCTGGATCAGGCACCGGTGGAGCGGACTGCTCGGTCTGGCTCCGGAGTGGATGCAGCTGACCGTTGGGGCTAGATCAGGAACAGCCGTGACCGGGCTGGCGATGCGTCACCACCGGCCTGGTAAGGAGCAGAACAGGCCGGGCGGGCTGGCGACGCGCATCACACCGGCTTGGTGCGAGAGCCGGAACAGGCCGGGCCGGCTGCGACGCTCACCACCGGCTTGGTGCGTGAGCATGTAACAGGCCAGGCCGGGCTGGCGACTCGTGCACCACCGGCGAACACCACCGGCTTGTCCTCCAGCGTGGGAGCAGTGCATGATGATGTCGTCCCCAGTGACCGTAGTGACATACCCCAACCGAAGCCAGGCATACAGAACATCCGCACTGAGCTAAAGGGTAGAGCTGCCGCTTTCAAGGAACGGGACTCTAACCCGGACGCTTATAAGAAATCCCGCTATGACCTCCGACGAACCATCAAACAGGCAAAGAGTCAATACAGGTCTAAGATTGAATCATACTACACTGGCTCTGACGCTCGTCGGATGTGGCAGGGCTTGAAAACTATTACAGACTACAAAGGGAAGCACAGCCGCGAGCTGCCCAGTGACACAAGCCTACCAGACGAGCTAAACCACTTCTATGCTCGCTTCGAGGCAAGCAACACTGAAGCATGCATGAGAGCACCAGCTGTTCCGGACGACTATGTGATCACGCTCTCCGTAGCCGATGTGAGTAAGACTTTTAAGCAGGTCAACATTCACAAGGCCGCAGGGCCAGACGGATTACCAGGACGTGTACTCCGAGCATGTGCTGACCAACTGGCAAGTGTCTTCACTGACATTTTCAACATGTCCCTGACTGAGTCTGTAATACCAACATGTTTCAAGCAGACCACCATAGTCCCCGTGCCCAAGAACTCTAAGATAACCTGCCTAAATGACTACCGACCCGTAGCACTGACGTCTGTAGCCATGAAGTGCTTTGAAAGACTGGTCATGGCTCACATCAACAGCATAATCCCAGAAACCCTAGACCCACTCCAATTTGCATATCGCCCCAACAGATCCACAGATGATGCAATCTCTATCGCACTCCACACTGCCCTTTCCCACCTGGACAAGAGGAACACCTACGTGAGAATGCTATTCATTGACTACAGCTCAGCATTCAACACCATAGTGCCCTCAAAGCTCATCACTAAGCTAAGGATCCTGGGACTAAACACCTCCCTCTGCAACTGGATCCTGGACTTCCTGACGGGCCGCCCCCAGGTGGTAAGGGTAGGTAACAACACATCTGCCACACTGATCCTCAACACGGGGGCCCCTCAGGGGTGCGTGCTCAGTCCCCTCCTGTACTCTCTGTTCACCCATGACTGCATGGCCAGGCACGACTCCAACACCATCATTAAGTTTGCCGACGACACAACAGTGGTAGGCCTGATCACCGACAACGATGAGACAGCCTATAGGGAGGAGGTCAGAGATCTGGCCGTGTGGTGCCAGGACAACAACCTCTCCCTCAACGTGACCAAGACAAAGGAGATGATTGTGGACTACAGGAAAAAAAAGAGGACTGAGCACGCCCCCATTCTCATCGACGGGGCTGTAGTGGAACAGGTTGAGAGCTTCAAGTTCCTTGGTGTCCACATCACCAACGAACTATCATGGTCCAAACACACCATGACAGTCGTGAAGAGGGCACGACAAAGCCTATTCCCCCCTCAGGAGACTAAAAAGATTTGGCATGGGTCCTCAGATCCTCAAAAAATTCTACAGCTGCACCATCGAGAGCATCCTGACTGGTTGCATCACCGCCTGGTATGGCAACTGCTTGGCCTCTGACCGCAAGGCACTACAGAGGGTAGTGCGTACGGCCCAGTACATCACTGGGGCAAAGCTCCCTGCCATCCAGGACCTCTATACCAGGCGGTGTCAGAGGAAGGCCCTCAAAATTGTCAAAGACTCCAGCCACCCTAGTCATAGACTGTTCTCTCTGCTACCGCACGGCAAGCGGTACCGGAGTGCCAAGTCTAGGTCCAAAAGACTTCTCAACAGCTTCTACCCCCAAGCCATAAGACTCCTGAACAGCTAATCATGGCTACCCGGACTATTTGCACTGCCCCCCCACCCCATCCTTTTTACGCTGCTGCTACTCTGTTAAGTATTTATGCATAGTCACTTTAACTCTACCCACATGTACATATTACCTCAACTACCTCAACTAGCCGGTGCCCCCGCACATTGACTATGCAACGGTACCCCCCTGTGTATATATAGCCTCCCTACTGTCACTTTATTCTATTGTATATATAGCCTCCCTACTGTCACTTTATTTTACTTCTGCTCTTTTTTTTCTCAACACTTTTTTGTTGTTGTTTTATTCTTACTTCCGGGCCGGGCGGCTGGCGACGCTGCATCACCGCTTTGGTGCGAGGAGCAGGAACAGGCCGGGCCGGGCTGGCGACGCGCACCACCGGCTTGGTGCGAGGAGCAGGAACAGGCCGGGCCGGACTGTGGAGGCGGACTGGAGGTCTGGAGCGGAGAGCTGGCACAACCCGTCCTGGCTGAATGCCTACTTCCGCACAGTATGTGTGAGGCATCAGCACAGGACGCACTGGGCTGTGCACGCGCACTGGCGATACAGTTCGTGGAACTGGCGCAGGATATGCGGGACCGAGGAGGCATACTGGAGGCCAGGAGCGTTGAGCCGGCACACCCCTTCCCGGCTGGATGCCCATCTTCGCACGGCACGTGCGTGGTGCAAGCACAGGACGTACAGGACTGTGCCGGCGCACTGGCAACACAGTACGTAGCTCCGCAAAACACGGAGCTTGCCCAGTCATACGCTTCCTCGCGTGAGTACGGGGAGTTGGCTCTGCTCTAACCCTAGGCTCCGCCAACCACCCCATGTGCCCCCCCCCAAATTTTTTATTGGGGCTGCTTCTCGGGCTTCCTCCTCGACCGGCCTCCTCCGTGTTGCCGTTGCTCCTCTCCTGCCTGGGCATCTACCTTAGCCCATGGTCCTTTCCCCGCGAATATCTCCTCCCATGACCACAAATTGGCCACCTGTGACATGGCCATCCGCTCCACCTGGACACGCTGCTTGGTCCTCGTTTGGTGGGATCTTCTGTCACGTTCGTTGAAGGACGGGTCAGACCAAGGCGCAGCGTGATATGCGTACATGTTTATTTAAACTGAATAAACACACGACAAAACAAACAAAGGAAACGAAACGTGAAGTCCAAGGTAGCACACACAACATACCTTAACCGGAACAAGATCCCACAACTAGACTGTGCCAATAGGCTGCTTAAGTATGGTCCCCAATCAGAGACAACGAGCGACAGCTGCCTCTGATTGGGAACCACACCAGCCAACATAGATCCACACATGCTTGATATACAACATAGAATATATACAAACAAAGAATACACACACCCTGACTCAACATATAAGAGTCCCCTGAG